ATATTTTACGGCACTTGTACGCACGCCAATTCCGCTGTATCATAATTGCTGCTCTCTTTTCCACCCGCCGACGCTTTATAAACCGCCTCCATTGTTGCTGCACTCTGGTTACCATCATCTTCTCAAACAGGAAATTTTGCCTCGCTCGGTTGCCCTTGAAGATCGCCTGTATGAATGTGGTCGCGTGCACCACTCTACTATCACGGGCTGCAGCCTGCCTCAGGTCCTCCGCCACCCGGCGCGCCACAGTGCCCCGTCGCCTCGTCTGCAGTCGTATGATGAGCTCCTTCTGCCTGGCGTTTTCCCGCCGGACCAAGTTCCCTCGGCGTATGCTCTGGATCGTCGTTGCCGCTCTATTTTCCCGAGTCACCTTCCTCCGTTTCAAGTTCCGCCAATACAGCTGAATGTATTCCGCACTCATTTGCCGCTGTAGCTTCCGCCGAGCGAGAAAACTCCTCCACACCAGAGCAACTTTCATCGCAGCAATGCCCTCTACCAAAGTCCGCCGCTTCTCCCTATTCCTCTTATACGCCGCTTGTATGAACATCGCGGCTCTCAAGTCAGCACTTCGCTCAGCAGCTTCTTGCCGCAGTTTACCAACTTTCCTCCGAGCCACTCGTCCCCGCCACAACGCCTGTACTCGCGACACAATAGCCGCATGTTCTGCCAACTCCCTTTGCAACGCAGCCTTCCTCCGATTTAATTCTCTCCTCCAAAACCTCTGCAACGTTACAGCCGCCCTATTAGCTTTCCTTGCTCGACAGAATGCCTTGTAAGCCCGTTGGCTTGGCACCGCTTTCCACCACGCTGCAAGACGAGTCGCCGCCCTATTCCGAGCCGGCCCCCGTATACGGTGATGATGCTCGAGCCAGTGTTTCTCGATGAGCCCTACTGCGGGCACTCCCGACACTAGTCTGTCCAACTCCTGCTTTAGCTCAGTGAACTCCTGGAGTTTCTCACGGGCGATTAAATACCGCTTCTGATGAGAAATATTATCACCCAGATCCTCCCAAGGGAAGCAGATATCCATGTACGTCATCAAGCCCCAATCACTAAGCACTAGCCTTTAGATTCACAACGCGACAAACAAGTGAACGTGATGGCCTTGAACAACCTTCATGCTCGGTAACTCCATCGAAACGATAACATCATGGGTGACGTGATAACAACAGAATCCCTCCCAGCGCGACCACCTATACTACTACCTCTTACTCTGGAGTACTCTCCGCACCCTTTTACCACATTGCTGCTCTTTTGATTCCAACCCTATCGGTAGACCCGAATGCGAGGTACCGGTATCGCCAGCAGGACAACATTCCTCGTCGACATCCCCACCCCTACAGCATTCCCCACAGAGCTTGCTACCGACACTGTCTTATCCTAATCGATAACTGTCATCACCAAGCACGATACCAATACCGGACAATAAATCGGAACAGCTAACACGGGTAATACGCAGCCCTGCCAGGTTCCAATACTCCCGAGCGGCAACCGTAATACTGTTTACCAACGTGCTCAGTACGCAACAATGGAGGGCCTCGCCTGCTACCCAAACGACCGTCAAACTTCTTAATTCTATCCAAAGCCAGGCTTGGGCATCTACTGGCCTAATACGATGTGAAGATGTCGGGTGTCGGGGAAGCCTCGCCACCGGCCACAGCAACGGCTCCTGGAACCGCAAAGCACCAGTAAACTACACTACTTATGCAGAGGAGAGCCTGCCGCCAAGGGAAAGGGGCGAAACAACCTCATCAAGACCCCTAGAGACATCCCGTATTACACGATCGCTAAACAATGGAACCACCTCGGAAAGTCATTTGCTCTCTCCACAAGTCCGATACAAGCTCAGCACCTGGAGAGAAACCGCCATACCCTTCGTATCTTCCCCGATTCACTACTACCACTTGGTCTTTCTAAAGTGATGGTTGTCACCCATAATAAGGACAACTATCGAAGGCATCGCTTCAAGTACACATGACGGCCACATGGACAACGGCGTTAATTGAGGAATGAGGGAACTCTCGTCGCAGATCCGCGTTTGCGACATGGAAGAGGTAATACTAGAGGAATTACTATATAGACACGTGACCATCCCTTTGTCGTAAAGCACCGAATAACTCAACAGTACTAGCACAAAACTTACTGGCGACGCAATGGTGAATCCAAGCAACGTTGCCAACCTTCTCGCATGATCGCTCCCATTACTCACCAGGCGGCACTCCAAATTGCTGACGGCAGTTCAACTCAGCCACGATACGGCTTAATCCATGCGAGCACGAAGGTAATAGTACAAAAAACCCGTCCAAATCTTCAACGTTTATTTCACAAAATACCTCTTCAAGCACGGTGACCACTCTGGTAGTACCCAACCACCGGACTGGACGTCGAGGCCACCGTCGAAGCCATCCCAACAGAAACATCATCTCTGATGCAACAACAGCTACCATCACAACTACCCGGCGACGGACAAGCCTTTGCCCGAGCAATCGCCGTTAGCATCAGTAGACTTGGTCCACACTCAGGAGCCCAATTGAACCCCCTCGAGGACTGCTCAAGGGGACCATCTCCAGTACGGTACAAGCCCTTCATGTTACTGCTGTTGTTGTTAACACCACCGTTGCCTCGTCGTACTAGTGCCGGGAAGCAAGAGAAGCACTTCGCAGTTGAGGCCGTAGTGATGGCACCAGGGACGGTCATACTGGAGGTCTGCGACCAAGAGAACTGCAAGAGGAATGCCAACGACATTTACACTACAAACGCAATAATATTTCTGATCAACGCATCAAGAATCGATGATATTCGAATGACATCCTCACATTAGACCTAAATCGATTACTAGGGCGCGCGCTAAAAAAGCTATGATTCGGCGCGACATCGCTTCTCACCGTAACCAAACGAAACAACAACAGATCACAGATGAACATCGTTAGAACATGTGAATTGGAGCGTTACCATCATCTATTAGATGATGATCCTTCCCCCTGATGATTCATCCCACCAGTGTTGGTATGCTGTTGCCTTTGATGCCACTAAAGCGTAGCGCAGCAGCATCATGCAAGTCGGCCGGACCACTCAAGTATTCACCTCGGTAAGCGTTCGATCTCCCTGTGCTCTCTGTTCCTCCGTCACTCGGTGATGATTGTGATACACTGTGTCATAACCATTACGAATGATGCCCATGTGAGTGAAGCGTGACGACGAGGGTTGCGGCTGACCAACAGCAACAGTAGCAGCAAAAATATCAGTCTAATAACACTCACCAAGCTAGCCACGATATTATGCCGTTCAAATGCCTCCCTTATGGAGCCGAACGGATCCCCATGGCCCATGCCAGGCGTGAGGTGGACCTTGCCCAGGTAGTCCTCATAAAACACAGTGTCGTTACTCATGATACCAAACCTAAGCACACATTGTGAACGCCAACCAACCCGATGAGTAGCCTCACCGTCGCATTAATTTCTCCGATATTAACCCAGGATACTCATCATGTTCCCACTTAGGCATAATCCAATACCCAGTGCCCGTCTTATTAAGCCTTCTGGCCGACGCCTTTAAAGCTGCCACCACACATCACATCGATCGCCACGTATTATCCCACCTTTAGTAATAGCATTGCCAGACGTCCCCTTCACGCGTTTAGCCATGGTCACGGCCAATACGGGCTCCTGCTCTCTGCTGGCCTTGCGCTTCTCGTAGCTTTCAAATCTACTGCCATCTTGTAATAGCAGCATACCAAAATTCCCTCACTTTGACAAGGTCACAGTGCAGCCGTGAGTCACATTATAATAATTGATCCCGACGGAATTCGTCTTCAACGTTGTGCCATTCACAGCGAGCCGCTGGTCCTCTATTGCTATCCCAGTAATCTGAATCACTCAACGATGGGACCATCGTGATGGGAAGTGGCGAGAAGGACCTCCATGAGCTCCTCCTTCAAGCTTTTCCGACGAGGCTGATCCTCCCAAACAGAGTCGCTTCGTCCCGCGTACGGTCCGCGAGCAGCAGCGTCGAACCCCCACAGCTAGCAGTGACAATTGGATGATGACTCAAGCTGAGAGCACACCTCAGTGAACCGGTCCATTGTGAACTTTGGTGGTCCAACAGGGATATCGTGCGGCACCCAGAGGTAGAAGCTGTCACCACTATGAGGTAGATAGACGTATATACGAATAAGAGTGTCAACGCCAGCACAGCCCATCCTGCGTCCCTGCACCAAGTGATAATATACTGCATAGGCAGCAACCTACCATTCCCAATGGGCCGCGGTTCGGTAGTGTATCACACGTCTTCATACCCCTGAGCTTCACGTGGCCCAGCCCACTTGGCCTCCGGAAGGACTAATGTAAGGAGTTACAGGGAGAAAGAGCCTCTCTGTAGGCACCTCATCCGCGTCACATGATGTTTGCACAGTAGTTGTGATCGTGGTTGGCTTCATGCCACTGCGCTGTGCGTAAATGCTGAAGACGATACATGTAGTGTTGGGAAACGCCTTGTGGCGTTTCAATGTACTATCACTGACGATATAGTATGAACAAACGTGAACTATTCGGCTCTGGTTGAACAGCCTTACTCTGCTTCACGAATCGCATCACTCTGGTTGTCTGAATTCAATTCTTTCTCGTAGGCCTGCCGCATAGCCTCAACCTGAAGGTGAGCAAGAACCGTTTTAATACTGCTGCCCCATAGAATGGAGCTCCCAATGATCCACAATACGCAGTGGGATCGCTCCTATGTCGCGACTACTTCGAATCACAAACGCCAGCAACCAGTGGTGGAAGAGATGTTCAGAAGTTTCCTCACTAATTATAAAAGTTTACACACGACTTGGGTCAGAAGTGTACAGAAACCAACAAAAAAATTCTCAGAATTTCCCTCTTGTCACCAACACATGTAGTTGTCCGTGTGCATATTTTCCCACGACTGCTACTAGCAACTGCCGGAAAGGGACACCATCATCACTATCGCGTTTCGCACGGTTTTTCATCCTTCCCATCTCAGTTAAGGCCTCCCATAGAGAGTCTAGACCCCCCTCCTCCCCTCACCTGCTTCGCCAGCTCCTCATCGCTAATCTCCAACGATTTCTTCAGAACCATTAAGCGCGAGAACTGCGTCTTCACACCAACAGCGCATTTAAAAAAGCGCGCGCCCTAGCGTGTCAGTGCCCGAACTGCTGACTTGATGTTTTCCTCAATCTACCGGAGTTTACTGTAGTTGCTGTTACTAGGGCATGACATCCAACCTGCTAGCCGCACTTAAGGTCAACGGCGCCAACAAGAGACGAACCTTCTTCGGCGGCGCTGGGGTGGGCATTGACGTGACCTCCGAGGGCAGTTTCTGGTCTCAGGTTGAACCCCAACCGCCAAACCCCTTTATCGAGGCTGCTAAGGCCGGGGATGTAGACCGCCTCAAAGAGCTCTTGAAAGACCCAAAGCATAAGGTGGGAATAGACGTAGACGACTGCGGCAATGATGGCTGCTTGCACAGGTTGACCAGAAGGACCCAGCCGGGATGACTGCCCTCATGCATGCCGCTAAAAATAGTTACTTAGACGTCTGCAAGGTCGGCTTGCTACTCGCATCACAAAGCCTTTGATGTGATCGGTTGCCAGGCACTTTCCGAGGGAGGGGCTCGCTTTTCGGCGAAGGACAATGCCGGGGAGACGGCCCTCATGATGGCTGCTAAGAACGGCAGCACCAGTGACGTTATACGGTAAGTCTGGACCCATGGCTCACCGACCAGATGGTGTGTGCATAGCTTCTTGGTCGATGCTCAAATAGAGCAACGTCGGAAGGCACAAGTTGTCAGTTTGACCGGACTCAACGATGGTCCATCCAAGGCTGAACAGCGTCGTGTTGTTGATGCCACTGACGATGAAGGTGGGATCCTAGCATAACTAGGATATGCTATTCCTGTACCTTGTCAGGCGTCACTGCGTTGATGAAAGCTGCTGAGGCCGGCCAGTCGGAGGTTGTCGAGCTGTTGATATCATTACATGCCAATGCTGAGGCTAAGGATGACGAGGGGTATCAACCAGAAGGGAGAATACCTTCGTTATGGCCAACTACTCAGGTGGAGGGCCATCATGTGGGCTGCTATGGCTGGGCAGCTGCCCATTGTTGAATGGCTCGTCACAGAGCACTCCCAGGAGGTGGACTACCAGACAGAGAACGGAGAGAACGCTCTGATGAAGGTAAGTAGCCGAGATGGTCACCATCATGGTGGTCGTCCATGTGCCGTCAGGCGGCTGCTAGCGGCCATTGGGACGTCTGCAAGTTCCTCCTCGACAATGGTGCCAAAGTCAATGCCCACGATCGGGAGTACCAAACACCGCTCATGTGGGCTGCTGCAGCTGGCCATCTGCATGTGGTCCAGGTGAGAACGCCATTGGAATATTGAGCACCTCCAGAATAGCAACCCTCAGGGACTCATATCGTTCGATGCTAAAGTCGACACTCAGAGTCGGACCGGCAAGACCGCGTTAATACTAGCATCCACCTTTGGGAGAGCCGACGTCTGCAAGTAGGAATAGCATCATAATCGTACCAACCGCCCGAGTAATCAGATACCTTGTAGAGGAGTGCAAGGTACGAGTCGACACTCAGGACAATGAGGGCTTCAACGCGCTCTCAGCGGCTATCGGGGTGGGTCGCTCTCCAACTGGTCTGAGCGCAGCTTGGTCTGTTCAGAACGACGATAGCCGCATCTGTTCATTGTTGATCGACCATGGATGTCCGTTAGAGGCTCATACCACTCGAGGAGAAACTCCTCTAATTCTGTCGGCCCGCTATCACGCCTTGGAGTGCGCCAAGCTCCTGTTGCAAGCTAATGCCAATTTGTAAGCAATTGAGGCACTGGTTGAAGTCACTGTGCATCATAGATTCACTGCTGATGAGAACGGGCAGACGGCCTCGGACCACGCCGAAGGGACTTTGAGCAGCAGAATGGTAGATCTATTCCGGCAAGCACACAGTCTACACCCCAGCCCACCGACCACTTGATTTACCAGCTTGGGTAGACGTGTTTAGATGATGGCAAGTCATGTTTGTACGCAACGGTGTTGTTATGACTAGAGCATTACTGGTGTTGTCAATGCTAACGAGTGGAGTGGAAAACGGCTAGGGAGGTGTTATCATTATTATGGCGTCACTCCTCGGAGGCTGAGATGCATTATGCGAATGAATGCGGAAGAGGTCGCATTGCTGATGATGACTGCACTCAAGAGTTTGTATCACCACCTCTGGTGATCGGCAGTCACCAACCGGTGAGCAGAGGACTGCTTTCATGGAGTGTCTCGTCAGATCGCTCGAGGGGTGAGCAGGTGTCGTCGTTGCCGTGTCACCATTGCCACTGACACGGAGGAAGGGAATGGTTGAGTGTCGGAATAGTGGACGGAATGCACTTCGTACTTTCCTGGGCGTCTGAGTGCTTTTGAAGCTCCACATCGGAGCTTGTTGGACGCAGTTCAGCAGGCATTAATGTGGATGTTCCCGTTCGACATGATGTTAAGATGAGGGCTAATGACCAACGAAGGGAGACTCTACCAATTTATGGACGTCAGTCTCAGATGTGGTTGCCATTGGCCGACTCATGTAGCGCGACTGTGAGTGGTTGTGAGTGCTTGATGATTTCTCAAAATTACGGTACTGTTGTGAGTTCGGTGGTGGCTCTAGCATGAGTGGGGATGCTGGGCTTTTGTTTGACATATGGGGAAACTACGTCGACTCTTCGACACCTTGTTCAATAACTTTCGGAGGACCAAGATGCGGTTCGTGGTGGTCGGTCTGGACAACTCTGGCAAGACTACATTGTTGAATCAGT